GTCTGAGGATGTTTCTGCTAGCCACTGATTTAGAAATTTACTTATGTGCATTGACTTTAGATAAGGGTAATTGACACTTTTGTATGACTGCTAAACTTGTTTCTCGATACAATTTTGCTTTATAACATTTTCCTTTTAGTTTAATTTTAAACTGAATTAGTGACTAGCTTTTGAGGGCAAAAAAGTGATCTTTCCTTGGGTGGTTTTCTGGAATATTGGGAATTTAAAGATACCTGTAACTTTAGTTTGGTTGTTTTGTGTTGTATATTAAGATGATTTCTAGCATTAATGTTGCTTGTTTTTATTGAGTAATGTTACAGGCTGAGAGAAGATTTGGTAAGCGTTCCATGAATAGGAAAGGTCGTACAAGAGCAGAGTCTGGAACCTGTAACGTTTGCTCTGCTCCCTGTTCTTCTTGTATGCATCTTGACGCAGGTCTGATGGGGCTAAAGTCTGATGAGGTTTCTGATGAAACCTGTCGTGTAACTGTTGGTAGTCAGTCTTCGGTTAATGGGGATGAGGTTTTGCCTTCTTTCAAGGTTACGACATGTGATAGCGTACAGAATGCTACAAGTGAAGCAAGTAACCTAGCCAGTGTCAATTCAAGTCATGATTCTTTCTCTGAAAATGCTGAAAGTAAAGCAATTTTCAGGTCTTCTGATGCATGTGATGCTTTGGAAGGTGTTGTTGACATGCTTCCCAAGTTGTCATCTGGTGGAACAGGTGCTGAAAATCAACTTCCTCTGGTTCCAAAGAGTGTTGTAGATCAGAGAGCCTTCTCAGATAAGTGTGAGGGTTCAAAAAATGTGGAAGGCCATGGTGATAACATATCAATTGTTAGTAGAGCAAATGATGCAAGTCTAGAAGTTGGTTATAATGAGAATGTAGGAAGTAAGAATTCATTACAGAGTCCAGCTGCGGTTACTGGTTTAATTTCAGATGGATCTGCCAGGGAGCTACTTTCCCAGAAGTTAGACTTGTCCGAGGGTCCTCCCTTAAGAAGAGACAGTTCTGGTGGCAGTTCACCAAAGAATGCATTGTACCAGCCTCAATGTGTCAACTTCTCAAGTGGAGGAAATTCTGGAGTTTTGAAATCAGAAGCTGAGAATAACAAGAATAGTGGGGATAGATCAGACAAAGCCTTTAAACGCTCTGGCCAAGGTGAACCTGATGAGAGGCCCATTGAAATGGTTCGGTTAAATGAAGTACAGGAGCCCCCTTCTCAAGTTTCCTCTGGAGATGACAGTGATGACTCAGAGATGGTGGAACATGATGTGAGTAAGGCTGCTCTCAATTGTTTTTAGAAAGAAAATATATATATAAGAAATTCAGAATCATCTGATGTTGCTTATCTGTATAATTGTGTTTGATGTTTATTTGTTCATAATTTTAGTTTCACACTTCGTCTATATTGGAACGACTTTTAGAGTATCTCTTTAAAATACTATCAAGCTGTACTTTAATCAATTTTGTAGGAAAGCAAATGGTCTGTCTTTAAGGAGTGCCAACAAAGTAGTCGAGTATAAAGCCTCTGATATCTAAAATCTACCGAAGTACCAAAGTAGTTTAGGATGAAGCCTGTCTGGTTTGTTGTCAGTACTAAAGGTTTATAAAGCTGACTATCTTTTGTTTATTGACATGCGTAGCATTCTGAATTCAAATTAGTTTATGAGACTGAATAAGTGTGCTTTGGCTTAGGATTACTTTATTTATCTGCTTTTTTGAGTCCATGGTGGTTTGCTGTGAATTACATTTTGTCAAGACTGTCAATGGCATGTGCATTAAAACAGACCCTATAGTTTCTTGTTAGATAGTACCTTTGCAAAAACCATTTCTCTTTTCAAAAGGGTTTGTTTGATGCAATCAAATGAACCAAGAATAGATATTGAGGTTGCTCAGCACCGATAGTAAGTAAAAGTGTCTCTTGACCTGTCAAAAACCTAGCTCAGGTCTCCCACCCTTCACGTTTCCCCAAAAAATGTGAAGCTTGTTTAACAGAAGAAGGTTGTCAGAATGATATAATATTTGAATACAACTTCGAGTTCTTTGCCTTCTCTTAAAAAAAAATCAAAGTGTCTTGCACTATAAAATAACCTGGGGAAAAGAAGTTGATGTCAGATATTCAATTGATTGTTTGGAGGTTGCAGTTTCCTTGTTCTTCCTCTCTCTACTTGTGGGTCTTCCATCTTTCTTTCTTTCTTATGGTCTGGTTTCTGACTTTTGATTCTCTTTTCCGTAACTAAAAAATCTTTTTCTTTTTCACTTTTTGCTATTTTTTGTTGGAGAATTTCACTTTTATCGATTTTATTGTCTTTCATTTGTTATTCTTTTTTTTTAACTTATCTAGAAAACAGAGAAGTTGACTTTTCCTTTCGCTTA